GGTTTGAGCTATGGGGAGAAGCTGAATAGGCTGGGGCTATTTTCCCTGGAGGGTTGGAGGCTAAGGGGTGACCTTAGAGGTTTATAAAATCATGAGGGGGATGGATAGGGTGAGTAGATGAGCTTTTAACCCCGCGGTGGGAGAATCCAAAACTAGAGGGCATAGGTTTAAGAGGAGAGGCGAAAGATATAAAAGGGACCTAAGGGGCAATGTTTTCACGAGAGGGTGGTGTGTGATTGGAATGAGCTGTCAGAGGAAGTGTTGGAGGCTGGTACAATTACAACATTTAAAAGGCATCTAGATGGGTATGTGAATAAGAAGCATTTAGAGGGATATGGGCCAAATGTTGGCAAATGGGACTAGTTTTATATAGGATATCTGGTTGCCATGGTTGAGTTGGACTGAAGGGTCTGTTTTCATGGTGTATATCTTTATGACTCTATGAAAAGCAGCAATTCATCAGGATGATATTTGGGATAAAGGGACAGAGTTATTGTGAGGAACTGGAAATGCTTTGGGCTTTGCCCATAGTTAGGAAATTGTGATTGGAGGGGGAATGATCTGATTGAAATGCTTAAACATCCTGTCAAATCCCATGATACTTTGAATCTAGAAAGACAGGTCTTCATCAAAATCACATGGATTTGTGAAATTCCCTGTCCCAGGAAGTGATGGATGCAGAATTGGTGGATCCACCTAAAAATTAATAACATGGAGGAGAAAAAAAAAGTTGTGTATTGGGATTGCAAAAGTTATTTGCATAATTGTTCATTGTACATAGAATGATGGAGCAACTCATTGGGGCCAGATGAATTATTCTTGTCATATTCCTAAACATTAACACAGCAAACTGACAGTGATCCTTCATTTCAATGTCGTTTGTGAGACCCCTTACCCTCCCTCATTTATTATGTGCTTTCTCCAGGTGCTTCCAGAGAAAGGAGGTAGAAGTAATCCCATTCTCCTTTATGATCCAAAATGGAGTTGTCTACTGCAGTGAGAATCAGAGGTTTGAACTGGAACAGTTCTCTTTCCCAACGTTGCTGTTTGGAACGAGTGGGGTGGAACTGAGACTGTGATGATAATATGATATTTAGGAAGAAAGAATTGAGACACACAGCACCTTGAAGGTAGGTTCGTGGGATATGTGCATCACCTAGGAAGTGCAGCATCCCTAATTGCCCTGAAGAAGTGGTAGTGAGCTGCCTTGATTAAAATGGTATAGGATCAACCACAGAGATCCTTGAAAGGCAATTCCAGGATTTTGACCCAGTGACAGTGAAGGAGCAATGATATTGTCCCAAGTAGTGTAGTGTGTTATTGGAGATAATTGCTGGCGTTCCCGCACATCTGCTGCTATTCCTCCTTTGGGTAGTGGAGGTTGCTGGTTTGAAATGTGGTGGCCAAGGACCCTTGGTCATTTACTGTAGAGCATTTTATAGATGGTACACACTGCTGTTGTTGTGTGTCAGTGGCGAGCAAAATTAATGTTGGAGGCAGTGAATGAGGTGCCACTCAAGCAGGTTGATTTGTGCTGGGTGGTGTCAAGCTTCTTGAATGTTGCTGGAGCTGCACCCATCCAGGCAAGTGGGGAGTATTCCATCACACTCCTGATCTGTGCATTATAGTTGTCAAGCTTTGAGGAGTTAGGTGAGTTTCTTCCCACAGAGTGCCTTGTCTCTAACCTCGGAATTGTCGGAAAGAAATCAGGTCTGCAGTCAAATGAAGACTGAGGTCCAACAAAATACAAGTGACCTGAAGAACAGCTGGTGGGCAGCGCAGGCTCAGGAAATAAAACAACTGACCATCAGCCATGATATGTATGGATTCTTTAGCTCAATCAAGGACCTATCCCACTGAGAGCTAAGAACAGAGTGGTGCTTATTGAGAGCAGACAGGCAGTGAGTATTCATTGGAAGTAGCACTTTAAGAATCTTCTCAATTGAGACTTAGCCCTCAATGTGAGTATCCTAGACCATACCCTGCAGCATGCGATTTAACAGTTATCAGCTCAAACCTCGATACAATCCAGGTTTGGCTGCCAATTGACATGATCACTTCAGTATTAATGTGTCATGTATGGTGCTGAACTTTGTGCGATCATCAGTGCACATCCCACTGTTGACCTTCTAATGGAGGGAAGGTCATTGATGAAGCAGCTGAAGATGGTTGGGCCTAGGATACTATGCGCACAGGGAACTCCTGCAGAGATGTTTGGGACTCTGTGTTCAACCTCCATAAACCAGAAGCCCACCGTATTTTGTACTAAGTATGAGCTCAACCAGTGGATAATTTTCCCCCCATTTCATTTCACTTAAGCATGCCATTCAACAGAATACTATGAATTTGCCAAAGGACATCTCTGACCTGGGCTGTGTTACTGCATTAGTGTTAGAAATTTATCTTCTTTGGGAAAATATCTCTGTGACAGTTTGGGCCATTTCAGAGTCTTAGGGTCAAGTTAGTTCAGGGACTGCAACTGGTGTAATAATAAAATATGCAATGACTAAATTCTAATCTTATTGAAGAAGATGACCCACCACCATCTTCCTGAACGACATGGGGTGGGCAGTAGATGTCAATTTCTCAGAGATGCCCAAGCCCTGTGAATGATTCTGCGTTGATATGAAGTTTGAAGTGTATAATTTAAGACAAATGAAGATGAGAGACAGTTCATTCAACCTTCTAAGTCTCCCCTGTATAGTATGCTAACTCCTCCAACCCGGTCTGTCACTGTTCTGAAGATTTCAAAGTCTACATCTCAGCTATCTTGTCTTGTCTATAATTCATGACATTTATCACAGTGTATGGATGACCAATTTCATTCTAGTACATGATCTAAATTTGTTTCCGACATTTTCATTTGGCACCTTTGGTCGTATTACAACTCCTGTACTTGAACATAAGGGCATTTCAGAACCATTATACATTAACTTGCCAAGAACAGTGAGCAGACAAGCAAGTGTTTCCGAGATTGAGGTGTGAGAACCACAGCAAAATTGTTGGATTATGGTTTGTGTAGTTTAGTCGATTGTAGGTGGAGGACATTTACTGGATAGGGTTGATTCTTGTGCCAATATTTAGGAACTTTGGCCTAGGAGGTCCGGGTTCAAGTCTCTTCTGGTGCAGAGGTGTGTCGCAACATATCTGAACAAATTGATGAAAAATAATGTAAGAAGACCCCAAGACTCTGCTTTAAATAAGAAAAGGTGCTGGAAATACTTGTCAAGTTAGATAACATCTATGGCTAGAAACAGAGTTAACATACAGTATATCTGTGACCTTTTATTGGATCTCTGAAACGTTACTGATCAAGACGATTAACTTTGTTTCTTGCTCCATCAGTCCTGCCTGACCTGAGTTTTTCCCGTAATTTTGGTCTTCATTCTTGTGAAACGGTGCTTGTTGGGATAGAGGTCCATTCATAATGTAACATAAAAGCTTTGTAAAGGTGTGTAGAGTTTGGCTGCAGTTCTATCCTTCACCTCTGGGCTTTCTGGAATATAATAGGATACAGATGAATAGAAGAGTTTTGAGGAAACTTTTGAAGGTAGCAAAATAGAGTAGCATAGCAGTCCCTGGTGCCTTCCTGTGAAGCAATGTTCAGGATTTACCTTGGCTAATCTATTAAATATTACATGTTTAATGAGGTCTGATGTAATGCCTTAGACATCACAATTGTGAGGAAGGGTTAATGAACCTATTGGTTGTTTTGTGTTCGTCATTTTTGTATGTCTGCAAATCCCATTTATTCATCTGTCAGGAACAGCAAATGGATCTTTTGAATCTATCTTTACAATTTCAACCTTTCTTCCCACCCTCTTTCAACCTAATCACTTCTGGGCATTTTCCAGTGTTTATCCTTTTTGTAAATGCCAAAAGTTCAGTCGCCCTAGAGTCTGTTTAAATGTTTTCTTGTCAGATATAAGAAAGACTGAATCCTTTGAACCTTTTATCTCTCACTACTTATTCCAGTAACAGTTTAATGATGAGGCACATCCTTGGCCAAAGGGGTAAGCAGTTGAACTGCTGACCCCCTCCCTCTAGGTGGACCGTTAGGGCAAGTTGCAGGAGTGTCCTATTAGGGCATTAATCTTGTTGGGTATTTCGTGGTAATGTCCCTACTTTTGGACCGCAGGCGTGGCTTCAAGTCCTACCTGTGCCATAATGTCTCTGAACAGGCTGATTAGGAAAAATATGTAGCATCTTGTGGCACAGTGTCCTTTCTCTAAGCCAGGAAGCCCACATTCAAATCCCACCTGTTCCAATAATGTCTGATAATATCTCTGAACAAGCTGATTAAAAAAATCTAGATTTCTCTCTTGTTTCAGCTGCACCTTGCTGCATTGTCAACATATTCTTAAGGTGCCCAAGTGTTCCTTAACTTGGCTAAGGTTGACAACTGCATGCTTGATGATGGCATGTGCATTAATCATGTATAGATCAATTCTTCAGTGCTACAGAGCCAGATATGAGATATCAGGTCAGTTGGTCAAAAGCTTGGTAAAGGAGGTGGGTTGCAAGGAGCCTCTTTGAAAAAGGAAATCAAGGTAGAGATGGGGAAGGCGGTGTAAGGAGGCAGTTCCAGAGTTTAGGGCCCAAATGATCCATCCTTGAGCTCCCTCTGAGCGGGAAGTCTAACTAGTAATGGATTTGGAACTGTGGAAATTTCCTTTCACTCTGGGGCCCTTATCAGCTAGCAAAAAGATGAAGCATTTATCACATCAGTCTGAGCTCAATTTAATTCAGTCCAGTAACTATAAGCTTGTGTTAGTAATTCAATTGTCCAGAGCTTCCAGGCTTTTGTAATTGATGCAGTGAAAGATTTCCTAATGATGTGGAGAATTGAATGGTATTAGACTTTCACATATCACTGCATGAAAGCATAATACTATAACTTGACTTCTTCACTCCAATATTGCCATAGGTGAATGCCAAAAGTTAAGTGACAAGGTAATGTTTATTCCTTATGGTTCCATGGTTTTCTTGCTGTCACACAGGTAGAAGCCCTTACTCGCCAGCCCTCCGCCACTACAGTCCATGCCGTGAGAGACTCTGAATTAGCCAAACTTCCCGAGGGAGCTTTGAACTCCATCAAGCGCAGGTACCCTCAGGTAAGAAATACATGCCTCTTCAGCAAGCAGAATTTCCTGTAGGTGTGTTACTTTTTTAGTGTTCAGGTTTTCAAACTGAATGAGTGCTCTTTCACATCACAGTTTGCAGAAATATTACCAGTTTGCACCATACCCCAATCAAAAGTTAAGAAAACTATTTCACTACTAATGGGTAACTCTTAAGAGTGTACATGGCATGTCCTTCACCTATAGCTGCACACCTTTTATTATAGCCGAGTTTTGAAATGCTCTGTGGGTCAAATCTTAGAATAGTCCTGCAGATGCTGAAAATTTGAAGTAAAAACAGAAAATGCTGGAAGTACTCAACAGGTTGGGTCTGGGATTATGAAAAGTCAGTTTAAATTAACTGCACCAATACTGCCTGACTGCTGAGCGTTTCCAACAGTCTTTGTTTCTATTACTTGAGCAGATGAGCCTGTCCTTTGATACCCTGCGCTGCTGTGTTTAGAGTAAAACCGAACGTTATATGCAATTATTCTGAAATAATTTGTGTGGTGCTCATAGAGCTTTTCACAGCAATGAGTGAGAAGAGTTGGGGCTTCTTGGACACTCCTGTCACAGGCAAGTGGAAGAAAACTCGAATTGAATGGATATGTGCCACAAACGGGGATCTGATCCTTGGGTTCAGGCTGTGGCGCAGTGTCAGTGCTGCCAGTATGGTAACAAGACTGCACTTTTGAATACGTCTTGGCATTAGTAGCAAAATGGGAATCATTGGAAAATTGACAATACTACACTGATTAACAAAGCAATATAAACAGTGTGAGTGCAACTTCATCTTGGAAACCAAAGCTTGATCACTTTAAATGAGTTAAAAACAAAGGCCATAAACAAATAAGGCATTGCTACATGTAAAAATTGACTTCTGTATCAAAGTGACCTTCGACCTTTTTAAATATTTGTGTTTGTTTTACTGCAATGCATGTGACGTGGGATCCTACTTGTTGTGCCATGTACTGCAAACTTGCATTTATGGATTTCATGTCTGCTTTTCTGCATTGAAGTCAACTGGCAAGTACTTAAATAGAATCTTTGAATCCCTACAGTGCAGATAGAGACCATTCAGCTCACAAGTCTGTACTGACCCTCCAAGGAGCATTCCACCCAGACTCATCCGCTCCCCCATCACTCTGCATTTACCATGGCCAATCCACCTAGCCTGCACATCTCTCAACTCTACAGGCTAATTCACCATGGCTAATTCACCTAACTGCACATCTTTGGACTGTGAGGAGACCGGAGCACCTGAAGGAAACCCACACAGTCACAGGGAGAATGTGCAAACACTACCCAGACAGTCGCCCGAGGGTGGAATTGAACCCGGGTCCCTGGCACTTTGAGGGCGTCAGTGCGGACCACTAAGCCACTGTGCTGTCGCTGGCCACAAACTGACGCAAGCTATCACAAAGCATTTGTCACTTTGAGATAATAAGATGCCAACTTGCTATATGGTGTAGCGAAAATTGATAGAATCATTGCATGATGCTGCTCAGGAGCCATTGTTATCTACTTTTCTTTCTTCCAGCTAGACACATGTGACAGTTAAAGCATTTTATTTCCCACTACTGAACATGCTTCCTTTGATCTTGTGTAATGCCGTTCATAGTGTTTTGATCTTGCACTCTGACTTTGCAACGGTTGCTTTCTGGACTGTGATGTTGAGCACTCATTCATAAATTTACTTTAATAGAGGGCTCAAAATGGGTATTCAAGGCCTTCAGTATTTCTCCAGTCTGGTTTTTCTACTCCTCAGTGAGGTCTAGGATGCAGTACAGCTGATAGCACTGACTCCCAAGCATATATAAATACTCTATAATTTGTTTGAGGTCTCCCATTCACCTTTATGGCCAGCTCATAATCTTACCATCGAGATAAAATGATGAACTGCGGATGTTGGAGATCTGAAACATAAGCACACATGGCTTGTGAAACTCGGCGCCCAGCAGCATCTGTGGGACGAAAGCAGAGCCAATGCCCAGAGTTGTCAAGGAAAAGCAGCTAAGAGCAAACTTAAAGGGAGTTCGTTCCACATGCCATTAATTCTGCAGATTTGATTTTAGGAATAGGGTCGGAAAATACTTGTTTCAGGAAGTCAGATGAATCTGCTTGACAACATGTAACTGTGGGAATGATCCTGCAGTCTTTTAAATCGATTCACACTGAAATGCTTTAAAGAAGCTAAAGTTATTACAATTCATTCTTTCCTTTCAGGATTAGAAACCCCAGGAAATCTCCTTAGGTGCATTCCAGCCTGATGCTCTCAATTTACGTAATTTTGGTTTGGCTGAGAGTTTTTGCAAATGCTGTCAATTTTCTTTCACTCCAATAACCTTTAAATATTACATACGCTAACCAGATTGTAAAAGAAACTTGCACACGCAGGAAACCTGAAATTAAAATTCTCAAATACTGGAAGTGTTTCAGAAGCTGAGCGTGCGTCTCTCCTGAGACAGTGGCGTTAATGTTGAGAAGGCCCGAAACGTCAGCCTCTCTGCTCCTATGATGCTGCTTGGCCTGCTGTGTTCATCCAGCCCTGCACCTTGTTGTCTCGGATTCTCCAGCATCTGCAGTTCCTACTATCTCTGAGACCAATAACATGGGTGCATTTAAGAGAAAGTTAGAACAGAAGATGATGGAAAAAGGAATAGAAGGATAGTCCTGAATATGATGGCTTGATGTTTGGTAGCGGGGTCAGGGTCTAAGGGGAGGTAGGAGGAAGTTTTGAGAAGATAACCTTTGTCAGCAGGTTTGATGTCAGTGTTGGGATTGGACCTGACAAAACAGGATGTAGCAAAGTTCGAAAGATGACAGGTTGGATTGAATGAGGGGAGCAGAGAAATTGAAATGGGCAATGTCGTACCAATAGTCTTCCTTGACGAGAGGGTAAGAGGTCAGAGGGAGATTTCCAAGTGGGGTTGGTTGTATAATGAGGGAAATGACCCAGCTGGAGAGGGTTCAGAAGAGATTTACCAGGATGGTGCCAAGTACGGAAGGTTTGAGTTATAAAGAAAGGCTGGAAAGACTGGGACTTGTTTCACTGGAGCATAGGAGGTTGAGGGGTGACCTTATAGAAATTTATACAATCATGACAGGTATAGATAGAGTTAATGGTAGGTTTTTTTCACTAGGATGGGGCATTTCAAGACTAGGGGGCACATGTTTATGGTGAGAGGAGAGAGATTTAAAAGGACATGAGCAAATCTTTTACACAGAAGGTGGTTCGTACATGGAATGAAATTCCTGAGGAAGTGGTGGATGTGGGCGCAATTACAACATTTAAAAGACATTTGAATAAGTACATGAATAGGAAAGATTTGGAGGGATATGGACCAGGAGTATGCAGGTGGGACTAGTTTAGTTTGGGATTATGTTCAGCATGGACTGGTTGGCCCAAAGGGTCTGTTTCCGTGGTGATAACTCTGTGATAAGGTGATAGTTGGAGATCAAGTTGGATTGGAGATGCTCGGGCAGCACATGAACGTGTGTTTGGGCTAAATGGTGAGTATCTCTGCTGCACATTCTCTTTGGTTGGAAGCCTATCAACACCTGAAGAGACAAGCTGTCTCAGTTATCTTTCCTTTGTCATGTTTGGGAAGGGGCTCCGTTGCCTATCCTGTCCAGTTCCTAGCGTTTTTTGTTTTTCTGTAACCCTGAACAGTTACTCTGAAGGGGCTTTGAGTTCACTGATGATCTAAATGACTTTTTGTATATTTCAAAGTCTGATTGTCATTGGATACACTTGAGTATGGATTAAAGTTTGCCCAGTTCACTGATGATTAAATTCTTCATTTTAATTATGATTTTTTGATTAGGTCTCTGCAGCTTTGGGTGCCTTTTAGTATATCAACAAATACAGTTGGCTGCTCAGTTATTACCATGGTTATTAAAGGTCTACACTGAGACACTGGTGCCAAGAAAGGTTAAAAGTTTTATTTGAATGATGCATGTGACATTTCTGGAGGCATTCATTCAGCATGGGGCTTTGTTTCCCTGGTAACAGTGGCTTGAGTCATCTTTCTTGAAAGCTGAAGCACTTTCTTTTGTTGTTTTGCTAAATAAGAGTGTTCAGAAAATGACAGGGGCACGTGTTTTCTAGAAATGTCTGTGTGGTTGAGATTGCCATCATCTTTGTGGCAACAGATGAGGCTATTTGTACCTTTCAGAACTGGAAGTGTGTTTTGTAGCGTACCTGCAACATGCGTATCTGAAGAATCATCAATGTTTGAAGTGTGAGAAAATACATGGCACACTGTGAAACTGGGGATGAAACTGGGAGTGAGGGAGTGGGTAGCACACAGTGAACCTATTTTGAGCGCACTGTGAAACTCCCTGGAGATGTGGCTAGGGCTGAAGGAATGCTGAGAGACTGGAAACTATGGCAGTTGGAGGGACCTGACTGTCCTTGTATGTGAATCACAAAACTAGCATGCAGATGCAACAAGTAGTTAGGAAGGCAAATTTTCTATTATCTTCTGTTGCAGAGAGATTACAATGGTAATGTCACTACATTAATAACCCAGAATGCCAGCCTCACATTTAGGGCCGTTGGTTTGAATATGACCATGACAGATAGTGAAACTTGAATTCACTAACAGTCTGGTGTTAAAAACCAACCTAATAGTGACCATGCACCCTCTGTCAATTGTCATAGGTACCCATCTGGTTCATTAATATCCTTTTGGGTAGGACACCCACCATCCTTACCTGGACTGGTCTACGTGTGATGCCAGACGCACAGCAATGCGTTTGGCTCATAACTGCCCTCTGGGCGATTAGGGATGGACAATAAATGCTGGCCAGGGCAGTGTGAATGAATGAGAAAAGCAATAATGTTACTCTAGTTGTCTTGGATTTTGATGAAGCCACACCTGATGATTTGTTGACTGTTTAGATCTTGGAGAAATTTACAACAAAGGCTCATTAGACTGGGTTCTGGTGAGTAGAGTAGACTTCTAACCCCTTAAAATTCAGGACAATAATGGATCATGGAGAGCTTTAATTTTTTTTAGTCACAGCCTCCAAATGAGGGGTCAGCCCTTTAGGACTGAAATAAAAAATGTCTTCATTCAAAGTTAACAAGGTGTAGAGCTGGATGAACACAGCAGGCCAAGCAGCATCAGAGGAGCAGGAAAGCTGACGTTT